TCTTTAGAAGTCTTGTTTTGTCTTTTTTGTTGTCTTGTTTTGAAAAAACAGCAACTCAACAGCAAAAAGGGTGGAATTACAAAAAGTGTGGAATTCTTTTCCCTATGAAGTTTTTGTTCAATAAGCCATTGGTGAGATTTTTTGTCCAAGAAAAGTCACATTCAGTCACAATACAGTAAAGCATTACTCCTATCAGGTGTCTCAGGACTGCTTAAACTGAAATGCATGGGAACCCCTAAAACTTTAAGCCATGAGGGCTAAAATGAGGTGCTAAGTCTTGTTATTAATAGATTTAAATTTTTTTCCCTCATTTGACTAGAAAAATTTGCAGTGACTGAATTTAGAGAACATTTGTGGTTTAATGCCTGAATCAAAAGTGGCCTGTAAAAGCTTGGGAGAAAGGTATGTCCCTGTGCTGTGGACCATGGGTTGTGAATCCAACATTTCAATGCTGGTTCTGGCAAGTGGTTCCCACAAATGATTTGTCAACAGACCTAGCACACAAGAATCACTGAGCAGATTTATCCTTAACATTGCATCACTGGGCTATTAGATATCCTGCTGCCTAGAGGAATTGTGACTCAGCTGAATACCCCGGAGTTCCCGTGCAATATTTAGGAGAAGTTGTTTGCCTGTGAATTGGATTCCCTGAGACCAGTCTCCTGGTGAAAGAACATGGCTTTTGAGCAAACTGTAAACAAGACAGGAAAGGAATGAGCCCTTAGCCCAGTGATGTTGTGATGATTTGTAACTATGAATCATCTCCTATCTTACACTGGTTGTTCCTTTCTCGCAGGAAAAACAAAGCAGAGGAGAAGATAAAATGTAAATACATGTGTTGAGTCAGGGACTAAAGTCATGGACATCTTTGTCTGCTGCTTATCATGATAGTCAGGACAGCTTCCACAACACCCTCCCTCCAGGCAACTTCATGCCAGCTCCTTCCCCTACTAATCTTCCCCTGATGCTCCTACTAGAGGAGTGGGAATCTCCATTGGAGAGCCAGTCTTGCACAGCCTTTCATCACTAGAGCAGCAAAATGCTGCTTTGTTTCTGCTGTTGAGAACCTCTGAGCCATTTATATTTATATAGATATAGAGATGTGTGTGTGTGTGTATACACGCACATACTTTTATACCCTATATATATATATATATATATATATATATGCATACATATATTTCCTTGCCATTTGTAGCCTTTGTAGTCTACTTCGGAAGGACCCAGGAAAGACAACTTAGGAAAAAAAATGTTTTGCTATTGAGTGTAAATTTGGACCTAGACTCCAACTGTTTTAGGAATCTGAAAAATTAAGAAAGAATGAAAGCCAATCATGTACTCCAGAGAATGTTTGTTTTATGGAGAATACAGCAACTGCAGCATGGTGAACTGGAGAGAGATTTGGAGCAGGGTGCTTGAATCAAAGTGATTAAACTCATGACAAATGGGAGATTTGGGTTCAGAGCCCTTCTCATCTTCAGGTAGAGTGAGGATTTAATTTTGTCTGTTGTCAACCAGTCCAGTGCTTTAATCACAAAACTGGTAATCTTAAAACTGGTTTAGGCTTTAGTAACCATAAAGGCAGGGAAGGCTCCATTTGAGAATCCAATCCAGAATTAGACATGGAGGTGCACTCCATGGCAGCTTAGTGGGATGCATGCACACACATACTGATGGAAATCATAGCACCAACCAATCTTTAAGATAAACCTAAGAAAATTGGGAGTTTTTTTTCTTTCTTTCTTTTTCTTTCTTTCTTTCTTTTTTTTTTTTTTTTTAAAGATAGCTGATTGGAAATTTGAGGATCTAATCTTCAGACCTTTAGACATAACTGTAGGAAATGGCAATAAAACATAGAAGCCTCTTTGTAAATCCAGGCATTCACTTCACTGTTATGCATGGATAATACCTACTTCACAGCAGTGTTGTAGAGAAGAATGCATATCAAAGTGCTTTGAAAAGAGTAACAAAAATAAACTGCAAGATATCCAGCTGATACCAGTAGGCTTGTGATTCTCTCTGTATGGGAGAAGGTCAAATAAGACTCTGGGTTAAATGTAACTGGATAAATGTGAGTGTACAGGGAGCCTCAACTGCTCCAAAGAGTGATGGAAGCTGTGGAGCTTGTTACACATCAGGCAGAGTAACAGGGACCTGCCTGCCAGCTTTAGCAAATATGTAAAAGGAGAATGTGTGCTTTGAGGAGAAAGAGTAGATTGGGGGGAGGTAGGGGGTGAATAGTCCCATGAACACAACATGTCCCACCTTCAATTTCTCACAAAGCTTGTAGGAGAGTATAATCTGTGAGACCTCCCATATTATTAAATGATTTGGGGCTGTCAGCAGTTCAGAATTATTAAGGAAAGGCTGGTGAATTTGCAAACATAATCCTGTAAGTGATTTCCTTAGAAAAACAGGCTCATATGTGCTTTGTGTTGACATTCCCAGTACTGCAAGGAGCCAAACGTAAGTGGCACGATTCCCATTCCCCAACAATAGCAGAGTTTCTCCCAGAATACCAAATAGGTGTAAGTTACATTAATTATACACCTGTGTGACATGATCCATGGAGGGCAAATTTAGATCACTGTGCCACTTAGATCCTTTTCCACACTGTTTTGCACTCACTGTATAACTTGCCCCTTTGTTTCTGCTCCCCCTACATTGCATTGAGCTTGACTTAACGAGTTGCTGGTGTTGGTCAATAAGTACATTTAGCTCATTGATTTTTTTTTTTCCTGATTGTTTTAGAATTATACAGATTCATCAGGAGTTCATGGAAGGTGTGACACACCAGAAAATCTTTTATCAAAAGGATGCCAGTTGGACTTCATTGAGTTTCCCATTTCCAAAGCAGAAATTCACAATAATAAGCCCCTTAGTATTGGAATAGAGAACAATTCTGATGTCACACAGATCTCTCCTCAAAAATTAACTCTTTGGCTGCGACCAGGTAGGTCACTCAATTCAAATGCATAATCGTGAGCTTTTGTTTTGCTGATATTCAAGCTACCCAGACTAAATGGCCTGAAAAAAATCTTTGTAGGGTAAAAATAACATACCTGTGTTGAGTCCAAAGCTAATTGCTGCTTGGCTAACCAAATGAAAGCTCAGTTCAGTTCAAAATACTGCTGGAAATACTGAGTACTTCATAAAGGTAAGGATTTATTTTCTAGTTCTTCTGTTTCCCTGATGCCGCCTAACTCCTCAGTCTAGGCTTCCCTGGCCTGTGAAGGTTTGATAAACAGCATCGCCTAGATGTTGTATAAAATCTTGCTTTGAGGATTTGCAAGATACCAGTGACACTTAGGGAAGCTCTCTAGACCTCCTGTAGGGTGCCTGAGATAGAGTTTGCCCTGAAAAAAAAATGAATAAAGAAATTTAAGAAACACCCTGTTAGGTCACATTATAGTACTGATGCTGAGAATAAAACTTACATGCAAACTGTTATTTTTTAAGATTTCTAGAGTGCATAGTGTGTCCTATAAGTGCTGTCTCAAATTTAAGCTGGTTTCATACCTGAATTTTCTAAAGCTGTAATCTGTCAAAAGATTGTCCTCATAGGTTACATTAGTCAGAGTTTTTTCGAAATTCTATGTTTTACTGCAGAACAATTTAGAAAATACATAAGCACTCCTTTTGTTTTTTCAGACATGCTGCTTGGAATTTTTGTTAATATAGAACATTTAGAGTTGTTATGTTAACTGTACTGATGATTTAAAAATACTGTATCGTTTTCACTATACATTTAGTTTTATGAAAAAATGTTACTGCTCATAAGATGGTATATTTAGGAGTGCTAATATGTACCTTATGTTCTTATAATTTTTATAGGACATGAAGAAACAATACAGATCAAAGTTCGCCAAAGTGAAGATTATCCAATTGATCTCTATTACCTCATGGATCTTTCAGCTTCAATGGATGATGACCTGAATACAATAAAGGAGTTAGGTTCAACTCTCTCCAAAGAAATGTCAAAATTGACAAGCAACTTCAGACTAGGTTTTGGATCTTTTGTTGAAAAACCAGTTTCACCATTTATCAAAACTACAGCTGAAGAAATAAACAACCCTTGCAGGTATGCAGGAAAAGTACCTACATCTATATGCATGCCAGTATTAACCCATCCTGCTAATCTTTAAGACAAAATTCAGTTCAACATGCTTATGGGAACCTCTGCCCTATTCCAGTTCTAAAAGAGTCAGTAAGGAATTTGTTTTAGGGTCACAGTCCTATTCTGTCATGTATTATGTTATTTAAAGAACAGTTTAGGGATAATTCTGCTTTTTACATTTTCTTGTTAGTTACAATGGATTGAGATTAGTATACCAGTATGTTCTGAGTAATTATGCATTCCTCAAGTTTGATTAAATATAAAAACATTATTTTTTATGCCTTTGCTATAGTAAACTGGTGAAAATACAAACCAAACAAGTAATGCCCATTTACCCATTAATGTTGTTTTCCTCTGTGTTTTCCTCTAGAACGTAGCAGTATTCCTCCAAACCTAGGTTGCCCTAGTTCTCTCCTAAGTAGTGGAAAAACTGCTCTCTGAAATTCCCTTGTCTGTAGCCAGAAGGGAATAACAGTGCACTGCAGGACAGCATCTCTGCAGACATTTCTTGAGAGAATAGCCCCAGATGCATTTTCCATATTTTATGCATATCTGTTTGCATAAGCCAGCTAAATGCAAAGAACTATTCACTCTGATTCTTTTGATGTTTTTCACTAGATCTATGTCAGGCAGAAAAGAGAGATACATAACTGAAAACTGATGAGTTCAGGTAGAGTGCAATTGCAAAATAGCCATTGCAATGATAAATCATTGTAGTGATTTTATTCCTGCATTATCCCTGAGCCATCTCACTTGTCTTGTAGAAGTGTTCCATATGAGTGCTTGCCTACCTTTGGATACAAACATGTTTTGCCATTGACCAATGATGCAGAAAGATTTAATGAAATTGTGAAAAGACAGAGAATCTCTGCTAATATAGACACTCCAGAGGGAGGATTTGATGCGATTATGCAGGCAGCTGTTTGCAAGGTAATTGAAACGTCTAGATGTAATACTAATTATTCTGTATTTGAACAATTCTAGTATTATATGATTCTTTTAAAAGAAGCAGGTCATTATTTTTCAAGATTTTTTAATGAAGACTAAAAGCCTAAGCAGATTTGTGTGAAATCAGTGCAATGGGCACTGGTAGCATCAGGGAAAGAGCAGTCAGACTGTAAGGCGCAGTCAAATATTTCATTGCTACCTTTGATGCTTACCAAGTTAAATGTATATATTGCAACATTAGAGTCTTTCCCTTTCATTTCTAGGGGTAAAAAATATAAACTGTGAGTTGACTGGTCTGCTTTCTTGATTGTTTTCTGTAAGTTTTTTTGTTTAACCATTTTTAAAGGAGTAAGCACACTGACATGGACACAACGTACATATTTTACTGAATACAAAACTGAGAAGGCAAAATGTTAAAAAAAGACAAGGAAATGACACCATCTCTTAAAAGAGGTGTTTTGGTGTTTTGGACAGTCTCTTTAAAATGATTCATTTGCTTTGAGATGCCTTTTTCCAGATTGTTTGCTGCTTTTCTCTATAGTGAGTATGGTACAGCTTCCTGAACTAATGTGTTTTAAATTACAGGAAAAAATTGGATGGAGGAACGATTCTTTACATTTACTGGTGTTTGTGAGTGATGCTGATTCCCATTTTGGGATGGACAGTAAACTGGCAGGGATTGTTATCCCTAATGATGGGAGCTGTCATTTGGACGACAATAACGAGTATTCCATGTCAACTGTTCTGGTAATTTGCGGTGTGTCTTGTGCATCTCTAGCATTGTGCAAATGTAAAGATTAACATGAGCAAATCAGAAGACTCATGCAAGTGTATCTTCGTCATAGATGCGTGGAAAAGTTGGGGCACCCAGGTGTTTGGTGTTATCTATTTTATTTGTAGCTTCGGTTCTAATCTAAAAAGAGCAGTGTGTATCTAGGAAATTGTTATAATTAGAAAAGAATGCATAAATCTATCCTGGAAAAACACATGGAGCAGGACTGACTAGTATTTTCTTCTGAAGGAAAAGCAAAATATGCATTAACTCTTAAAGGGTGTGAGTTCAGAAGTTTGGTAATTTGTTGGACATTGTTCCTGCAGAAAAGCTTACCAGCGTGAGATTCAAGTATAAAAACTAGTACAAATATTCAGTTGCCCTGGTACAGAATTATTCTTTGGACTGCATTCTGCTAAGCTGGGAGTCCCAGGATGAAGGTAGACACTGTATTGTTTCAAAGAGTTTCCTTAGAAAGGACAAGAAATTATATGCAATGTCTTTTATTCTCTATATAACTAGTACCTAATTATATGTTTATACTGTACTGAGAAACCAGCAATGTTTATAGAACATTTGAATATGTGCTTCATGGGCGACAGTTAGGAAGTGTATGTCTGTAAGAAATGAATTGATGTGGCTTTCCTTTTCAGGAATATCCCACAATTGGACAATTAATTGACAAACTTGTGCAAAACAATGTTTTATTAATCTTTGCTGTAACAAAGGAGCAAATTCACATATATGAGGTAAGTGAATTAAAAGGCTTTGTTCTCCAGTGATTGCTCTGATCACTGTTTTTCACAGCTGAGATAGTAATTTTAGTATTAATCCAATCCTGTAAGGTATTTATGTAATGAAAGTATCTAGTAAATTAGATATCAGATTTATAGAAAGGTCTTTTCACTAGGAAGTGCTTGTATTGATTTTGATGTGCTTATGCAACTTTTATATTGGATTTCAAGTTGAATCACACTGTCATTTTTAAGTCAATAGATAAGGACTGTCAAACTAAGCATTTCTAAACTATTAAGTGCAATCAGTATGATTGGCCTTTTATATTTTTTTTGAGGCTAAGTTAAGGGCGGTTGAGCTGTTTTTTACTTTGATAAGAAAATACATTCTGGAAAAAAAATCATGTCTTCAATCACATTCACCTCCAAGATAAGGGTTATTTTGTTTGTTTTTCAGTGGAGTTTTACTCATTTTTCTTTACTTTTTTTGTCTCCTTTCAATGAGAGAAATAGGAAACTAGCAGCAGGTCTAAAATCATAAAACACAGTGGACTATTTGTTAGTCCGTTAGTTATTTGTTGATAACTATTTGTTTTTTTGGTCCTTTGGAAATTTTGACACCGAGTTGAGACTCAGTCTCAACTATGGGTACAATACAGTTGAATGGCTGTGAGGTCTTGTTCAGGTGAGTATTTTGTTCAGGTGCCTTTCTCTTTGCTCAACTGTTTCTGCAGCAAATATGAGCAAAAGCCCTCCGACCTAAGAGGGATGTTGGCAAAACTTGTTTTTTTCTAGTCCCTCTTCACATGCAAAAAGAAACTCTAGATAAGAGGTTTGGCTGTTCCTGTTTGAAACTCATAGTTTTAACACAAAAATAATCCAGTTGTCTAGCTCTCCTTTTTTAAAAAAATTCTTTTCTTTTTACAATCTTAAGTATGGAGAATTGGATATTTACACTTGTATAACAGATCTGAATCATTGAGATGAAAAGGAGACACTAGAGTGCAGATTTCATGTCCTACGTATGCCCTTGAAAGCATACTAAGGTTTTGAAAGACAGCATTGTAAAGCTTCAATGATTTTTGTATTTGCTTTCACTGCTTTTCCATATCACATACAGGATAGCAACTATAGATATCTGAACAAGTGACAAAGCAGTGTGGAAATGATGAAAGCAGTAGGTAGAATATATTCAGTGGGATTGTTATATACCCTACAAGATATAAGATAATCACCCTTTATTTTTCTGACAAGGAAAGTTACAAGCACAAAAATTCTACAGTTCGATTTACAATGGCTTGCATTTTTTTTTTTTTTAGTTATAAATCTTCGTTTAGTGTTCCCAGTGAACAAAAGGTGCCACTTGATAACTTTGATATGCTATAACACTGACACAAAAATACTGAAATAGAAAACCTGTGATAAGAACACTGTTGGCCAACTCTTAGGGTGACCACCAACAATTTCCAAGGGGAAATATAATGCAAGCAAGAGAGAAGTTTCTTTGGATTAAAAAAAGGCTCTGTTAATTAATGTCATACTTCCAAGCTACTTTGTGCAGCAGCTGTTAAAGCTCGTGAAAAGAATTCATGTGCCATTAACTAGGCCTAATAAAATATTAAGGAATATTTAGATTTAATAAAAGCTTTTTAATGCCACAAATTTTAATTAATTTATCCTATGACTATAGAATCCTACTACTAAACTACATTTGTAATCGACTTCCCAGCATTATTGAGCTAAATTTTCCTTGTTTTGTCCAATAAAAAGATTTTATTTCTATAAAATACTTCAATGGGAATAAAATATTGCTTTACTTTTGGGAATTTTCATTGAAGAGTTATGGAATGAGGTGTGAAATATATTTGCTTGACATTCATTTGCCCACCTTTAAAATACTGTTACCTAGTCTAGTAACCATACTGAGCAATAAGTTGAAAAAGCTTCATGAAACCAAAGAATTATCTTGATCACAACCTATAAATTTATACGGGCAAAACTGAAGTTTTATAGCTGTGAGTTGTTCATTGCAACAAAGGCCTATTGCGTTGGGGTAGAATTAATTCAGCAGAGACCTGATATGACAAAACTCAGTTACTTCTTGTGTTAATGCATTATATATATATATACACATATTTATTATATATAAATAAATATATATATAAATAAATATATATTTATATATAATAAATATGTATATATTTATATAATAAATATGCATATATTATATATTATATATTTTTATATATTTATATACTTTATATATATTTTTTTGACAAGAAATGCATCAGGAGAGTCATTATTCAGAGTTATTTGGAGGATTGTTTCATAAACCCAGTTTCTTTGATGAATAATGCCTGAATGCCAGTCATACTAAGGAATCTGTAGCAAAAGATCTCTGACTAGAGTGCTTTATTGAAAGATTGTAATAATAAAAAAGGTAAAGCACTGCAACAAATGATTTTTGATACAAATCATAGTTCAGTTAACTGAAATATATTTTTCATAACACCAAAGCTGTTTCTGTCTGGAATGTCCTGTGTGACATTTTTGGATGATATGTTTTGCCACCACTTTTTAGTGAGGGGCAAAAAAATCTGAGCTCCAAGATGCAGAGTAGTTCCTCATTTGTTAAGGTTATAATCTAAGAATCATTTCATGAAAGATCTCACTAGTTTGTTGCTTTTGCTAAAAATCTGGAACATTATCCTTGCTTAGCATAACACTGCAACTGGAACCAGTCCATGAAACACTGGGTGTCTCCCCTGAGCTATGCAGGGAACAGAATCTAGCACTGGAGAGAACCTCAGGGGCTCATCTACACCCTCTGCTGTGACACAGAACCTTTCTCCTAGCCCTTCTTTTCTATTTTCCAAGTAGCTATAACCTAGAGTTATAACCTTTCTTCTTATTCCTTTCCCTTTAGTTTTTAGTGAGGAATACTTTCATCAATACAGTTCATTGTACCACCTCTTGACCACTCTCCATTGAATATCTCTTGAACAATGTGAGAAAATTTGGAGGCACCATCATGCAGCAGCATAGCCAGGCAGTCAGAAGCACAGGGATTGGGAGAGTGCCCTGCATTGGTACCTGGACACCATATTAAGACATTCTTGCTGGCATTTTCTTCACCACTTTTTAAATTTAAAATTCTGCAATCTTCCTTAGAACTCCCTTCCCAGACTTAATTTTCCCTTGAGGCAGAAAACTTTTCTCCAGTATCTCATCTTAAAATATACTTGAACTCAGCATCTAATTATAACAGATGCCAAAATTGATTGTGGCTATTTATAATTTCATTCTTAGGGATAAACATATATTAAAATGACTGTGAGAACATAGAAAGCAACTCTTTAAATAGACTTGATAGATTCCATTGGTCTTAAGTGTAGTATGTGGGCTGTAAAATATACATTTCCAGTCCTATATAATCCACCAAAGTTTATCCGAGAAGAGTTCAGTCATTTAAAATTCTTGATCCCCTTAAGACTGAATTAGAAGCTTATCCCTTACAGGTATGTGTGTGCACTGTTATCTAACACACAAATATTGCACAAATGCAGAATATATATACTTGTAACTTGCATTCTTGTCAGGGAAAGCATCTTTTCTGGTGTAGTAGCTTTTTTTGGTTACATGGGCACATCGCACTTAAACCCAGCATTGCTCTGCATGATCTCAAGAACTTTTAAATTAGAATTTATATTCTAATATTCTAATTCATAATTATTATTCTACTCTCCTTATTTATACTGAAAATTTTCCTCTCATTCATACTGCTAAAAATTAAACATAAGCCCACTGAACTCAAAGATAAAATACTCAGATAAAAAACCACACCTTCTGGTAAACGTTTGCTGAAAGACTATTTTCAGTGAAGTCCTATGGAGAAGTTTGATTTTAGCACTCCTAAAGCATCAGTCTATCTCAACTTGTTAATGATTAATCAAAAATCTATGCTACCAGGTAGGGCTTAACAGATAAACCAGAGATTTACACTTGGACTGGGCATGCACCATATCCTTGCATTACTGTACAGAAAAGTTTTGTTCAAAGTCAAAAGGAAATAAAGTCCTCAGAACAATACATCCCTGCTGTTTGTTTTGTATGTCTGAATGGTATACTTAAAATTCCAGATTTATTTCTTCTTATTATTTATAATCAGCTGATGAAACATCCCTGACTACAAAATGCTCAGTTTCTATATTTTAAGAAGTGTCCTTCTGACAGCACTAATCACAGGAGGAGTCAGGAATGCAAAATTGCCAGCTGTAACATAAAATGTATTTAATCCCACTGATTTACAATAGCACTTTAGAAATCTAATGAATTGTAAGTATTCCAAATATATAATCACAGTGATTTTGGAAATGTAAGGTTTAGGAGAGAGTAAGAGTATCAAATTATCTGTGTTTATTATTAGCTCTTTAGGTTTTTTTTTAATAAAATAACACCATTGATCCTATGGTATAATAAATCACAGAAAGCTAAAACAGCAATGTGTGTTTTTAACTATGAATGCTAATTACTTTCAATAGGCATAGGTATGAGTAAGGGAAGTGCACAGAGTTAACAACTGAGCAAAGCATATATAAAATCGAGGATGTTATGTTAGTGGCACAATGCAATTTAATGCAAAAAGGAAAAAAGACCTCATCACTGAAATCAATTACCATGCAATCAGTCACAGTCACGGGCCCCTGATAAAAGTCTAGAGTTACACTGATCATAAGGCAGCAGCAGTTCTTAAGGGCCTCTGTTCTAACTTAGTTTAAACTTCTTAACTTCTGTGCCCTCACTGAGAAGAACTTAAGATGCTTAGCTGCTTTCAAAATAAAGAGACCGCTATTGAATGTAGGACCCCACACTTTCAAATATTACAGCAAGAGCAAAGCAGTCAAATCTGGTTTGGGTTAATTTTATTAAAGAAAAACATAACCATTGACAGAGTATATTCTGAAAATTAAAAAAAAAAATCAAAAACATAGCTGGAAAACATTATTGGGACTTACGTATGTGATTTAGCAATATATGTTCCTTTCAGTGAAAATAACTCTTCTCCATAGGACTTCTTAAATAAGTATTCTTGAGGCACATGAGGGTACTTCAAAATGTCACTGTTATTTATTTTAGTTGATTATGATATATTCTGTTCTTTTCTAGCAGCTTGGTCCTTGTTATGTAGGTGGGTTTTCAATTATTTTTATTTTTATTTATTTTTGTTTTTAAATTGATACTTCCAGAACTATGCAAAGCTTATTCCTGGAGCCACTGTTGGGCGACTACAGAAAGATTCTGGAAATATTCTCCAGCTGATCATTGCTGCATATCAGGTAAGGTGCCTATAATGTGTTTTCTGGTTGCATGTTTATATTCTCAAAATTAGACTGTCATTTTGTAAAAACAAAAGTCTTTACTTATTTTCTGCATTGATTTCAAGACCATTGTTATTTGTGCATAAGTGCCAACCTTTACAGGAAATCTCTTTCTCTCTAAGAATTGACTGTAGAAACCGTGGCTTTGTTTGTGGCAATATTACTTTGTATTCTCATTTATAGCTTCCTGAAAGCCTTAGTTAATCAAATGGTTTGGTAGAATTCACTATCTTAAATGAGGAAGTAAAAAATAACTATTTAGAAATTGTTCAAAATATAGAGCCACAACACTGAGATGCCTTCGCTGGTCATTCAAGTCATTATTAACTTGTGTTAATTATTAGCTATAGAACTGTCGTTGAGCAAAGGAATTGGAAGCAATTAGTATAACCGGTATTTGTTTTCACTACGATGTTCCCTAGGAAAAGCGTAAGTGAGATGGTGGTAGGTATCATGGCATCAGCAATTTTCTAATAGCACTTCACTGAAAAGCTCCTTTTAATATATTCATCCTCAATTGTGCATGTTTATTTCCAATGAATATTCAATCTGTTGATTGCAGTTACCTTTATTATTTAAAGTTGTGTCATGTTATTCAGAACTATATCCAATTTCCATTCATTTCCCTCTTCCCCCCTCCCCCCCCCAAAAAAAAAAAAACTCCTACAAAATCTGTTATTCCTCACTGGAATTGGAATGCTAAATTTAATGTCAGTGTGTCATTTATCTTGTCTTCATAGTCCTCTGTTTCAGACTTGTTCTAAATTTTTCTTTAACGTAAGTATTTGTGTCTGCCACTATGATGCAGCTCTACTCCTATCAGTAACTACCACCAGAGCATATATACAATTATTCAGCAAGAATATCTGTTAAAAAAGCAGTATTCTGCAGTTAATGCTATACTCCACTTTAGCAATTTGATACTGCCCCTGTGAGGCTGTTTTGATGTTTTTAAATCAGAATACAGGCTGAGGAGGAGTGCTTGAATGAGTTTCTTTAGGTAATATAGAGAAATAAGAGAACACAGCAACATAAACACAATACTGCTTTTCAAGCTTGTTTATAAAATACATCCCAGCTTCCTTGTTCTTTTATTCTAGAGGAATACTTTTAGGCATTTTTACAAGTTTTTGAACAGAGATAGATACATTTTACTGATGTACCATAGGCTTTTCTGTTCTCTCCCTCTCACATTTTATTAAAAGCCTGCTCTATCCATTGCTACAATTAAAAATAATTCTATGGGATTCCATTTTCTATATTTTTACTTAAAATTCTTACACTATTCCTCCCATAAGTGGAATAAGAAAATCATTATTTCTTTTATCCAAAAATTTTTTTTGTCTTGGTGATAGAAAAGGAAACCAAGTTGTTTTCACTCTTACAAAATCAATGCAATTATTTTGTTATGCTTTTCAAATGAAATACAGATACCAGAAGGTTTAATTTGGAAAATTAAATATGCAAAGAACTTTAAGATTAATCCTGAGATTCTATAATAGTAATACATTTAGAGGGAAAACTTTGCATGATTAAAGTCAGGACTAAACATGCAGTGGAATCAGGATTTTACTTCTAAAGTCTAAGATATTGTTAGTCCAATCTGTCAAGATTCCTTTAAGCTGGCACTGTAAAGTATTGACAGAGGTACCTCTGTTTAAACAGCTGGAAATGGGCAGCGTGTTGTTGCCCGGTGAATAATGGAGAAATATAAAGTGATTGTTATTATGTGCAGAACAGTGATTAGTCTGATTGCATTGTCATGGTATGCATCTAGAACTGCTATATTACAGCTACTGGAGAGCACATTCTTGCCTACTTCATACCTGCTGTGCATGATGTTTTTCCTAATCTCCTTTTTGAACTTGATGATACTTTCTGTCTCCACAGTCTTCGTGGTAAAAGGTTCAATTGCAGTGTTTTAAGAAGTACTCTTGTTTTCTCATTTCAAGTCAATTTCTATGTTTTAAAATTTCACTGAATGCCCCTTCAAGCACTGCAGAATTTGGTGAATAACAGTTTTGCATTCAGCTCATCTTCTTCTGTTATTCATGATTTTGTAATCTTTCCTCACCAAGACATGTCTCCCTCTCCATATCTTCTCCTGCTCCTTCTACCGGTGTTTCAAATCTCTCCTCAGGTGCTTCATTCCCTCTTTACCTTCTCTGACTCCACTGTGTCTTTCCTGAAATGTGAAGATCAGAACAGCATGCAGTACTCAAGACAGGGTACATCAAGGTTTTATATAGAAATAAAATCATAGCCCGGTCTTGTTCTCTTGTACTGGTGACCACCGTAGTGTTGCCTTTTGGTTGCTCCTGCTCTTTGAATGGAAGACCACACAGAGCTGTTGGTGGTGACCTCAGGTGCTCTTTCTGGAGCTGTTATGACCAATTCCAAGTTCAGCTGTCCTTGTGCACGGGGTTATGAAATAGGTGCTTTCTCCCCTCCGATAGCAGCTTTCTGCTGGGAGGATGCAGAACAGTGTTGCTGCAATTGGGTCATAACTCATTCTGTCCTAGTTCAAGTACAGCATGTCTAGACCATCCACCAGAATTGCTTATACATTCTTAATATCCCACATACATTTCGAAGTGTACAAAGTGTACAAGTAGCAACGTGTCATGGTTTCAAAATATCCTATGGTCCATTTTATTACATTTAACCTTAAAGTTTAACGATCCTGTTGCTTCATGATTAAAACTCTTCCAAGCAGGAAATACTGAGAAGCACCTTATTTGACATGAGTGAAGAAATTGGATTTTTTTTTTAAGGTGAAAAAGGGCAAACAAGGCTAGGCTTACAGTTGAAAATCACATGCTAAACAGCAGAACTAATTCCATTTTTTTCGCGGACCTTGTATGGTGCTTTCAGCAGTGTAATTCAACTCCAAATGTCTCTGTTTCTTCACCTGCAGAATAGGAATAAATAAGCATTTTCCCCATGGAGAAGAATCTTTTAACATATTTCAAGTGCTTCAGAGTTTGTGCTTGCTGTACAAACACAAAATTTGCTAATATCATTCATGCGTGTGTTGCTATCAAAAAGCTTCTAGAGAGGAAGTAAGCAACTTAAGAAAGTCTGAGCTGTCAAAATATTTGTTACAGAGAGTTCTCATGTTCTTCCCTAGTATGATTCATTTTCTTCTGTAAGCATATTTCTGCCTGCCTCTCTTTTTTCAGGGTTAAATCTGCATAGGTCTGTATCACACAATCTTAGTTTAAATTGCGTTGTGACTGAAATCACGCCTTTTAATGAAAAATGTATTCCAGTATTTTAAGACTTCAGATTTTTTTTTTTTTTTTGTACTTGGTGCATGACATAGAAAGGTTGAGGAAATAACACTCTTTTAAACGTTTTTAAACACTTATACTCTTTTAAAAGTACCCTACCCCACGCACAAGCTTATAACGCTTCATTGTTGTTTCATTCAGAAAAACCTGGAAATACAAATCTTTCCCTGAAAATGGCTTAAGCCATTAAGCACTGAGCTGTTCACAGTTGCTTCCAAACTACAGCCAGGCAGCTTAATAGATTTAAAACACTGTTAGAAGCTCTAAGGTCTAAAAAAAATGGATTTGTCATGGAATATCCATTCATTTTCATCGATTAAGATGTATATTTTGATGACTGCACACTTCTCACAAAAACAAATGGATGTATGTTCATGACAACCTGGTATAGACACATTCTAGATACTAGGAGCTTGTGCTCAGGACCATTTAATTTTCTCTTGTGATTTTAATCTGAGTCTTGTAGTCTTGCACTTGGCAGAAGTGGGAATATTTAGTGATATATCCTGTTACTTTAGTATGTCAACTTCCACAGTTTTATCTTGAGTTTTACTCAAGACAATCTTGAGTAAAATCTTGAGTCAGGATTTATCGTGAGTTTAGCTGGAGTCCAGCTGATATAAACAAATTATTTTCTAAGAAACTGCACTGCTTTAATAGCAACACAACCATCTAACTCCAAGACAAATGAGAGGGAAAAATCAAATGCATCCAGAGCTACCCACATAGCCAACCTGATGCCTAATGCATAGCTTTGTTGCTCAGGCTGCATGCTGGAAAGAGGACTAGGTATTATGTGAATGTCTCACATAATACATGTTTTTGTCATTTATTAAATTTATTTGGTTTACTGAAAAGGTTTTCCAAATGAAAGCTCACAATAAAAAAGCCTAGCACAAACCTGCGGAAAATCCAGCACATATGCAAAAGTTAGGGAATTCTTCTCCGTGTGGGTTTGTGTTTATTCTACTTTCTAGTTTCAGGTAGTACCATTGTATTCACCAGACCTTTATTACAATGAGTCATCCTGATTCCTTTACTAGAATGACTCACTCAGGGAAGGTCAACAAGCTCCTCCTGCTTTGAAGTGCAGTGGGTATTTTGTAAAGCACTTGAGCTTACAACAGCTCAAAAGCAAGTCGGTGAGTCTTTTGCTCCTCTGTTACTGAGGTGCTTTTGAAAAAATTCCATTTACTGGAACCACAGTCTAGTGAAGTCATAGGGAATTTCCACATGGCTTGATGTAGGCTTTGGATTAGGGCTGTTGTGTGATCAAAGTCCCAATAAAAATATTTTGGAGTTAAATATAATAATAATAATAAAAAAAAAAGAGTATGAGAGCACTTAGCAAGTAAATTGAAGAGGGTTTTTTTAGTTAAGAAATATAAGCTTGATTATACAAATTGATTTAAGAAATGAGGATACTGCTGAATATATCTTCAAATAGCATCAGCAGCTCATGAAGCAACAATTTCCATCCAGGGGAACAAAAGCACCAAGCAAGCTGCACAACAGTGTGAGTTATTTGTAGAATTAGATTCTGGCTCTTGCCCTAGAAACATCAGGCCAAGTTGGGGGGGCCTCACACTGAGGCAAAATTGGACTCGACATCAGCTCTGCTGCAAGAGGGATTGTGAGGCTTCATTCTAATGGAATTTCTAGTTTTCCACTGTTTTCTCGTGGAGAAAAACAAAGGACAATATTGACATAGGCTGGCCGTTCAAGTGGTAGCAATGCAATCAGAGATGCGTATCCATTCCTCGGGAAGACCAGAGACCTGTGTCAGTCACCAGAGCACTTAGTAATGAAGGATGATTTAATAAAGCATTGAAGTTATTTCCCTGCAAGGGCAGGAAATCAGCACCATGATACAAGATATTAAAATGATAGCACCATTGCTTTCATCTGAAGGCTGTTTCTGTTTGCACTTTCGTTTTTCCTCTCATTCTCCATTTTTCTTGAAATAGAGAAATGTGTAAATAAAGTACCAAATCCATTAATTTACTCCTGTATAAGTAGAGATAAGTAACAATCTGTGTTACATATATGTGGAACATTAGCAGTGTTTGACAAAGTTATCAAACCATTCAGCATTTCTTTCTCTTTAAGGAGCTGAGATCTGAAGTAGAACTGGAAGTCTTTGGAGACACAGAAGGACTCGATCTCTCTTTCACTGCAATCTGTAACAATGGCACCTTTTTTCAACATAAGAGGAAATGCTCTCAGGTGAAAGTGGGAGAGATAGTAAGTAAAAAGCAGATTGTCAAAAGACATCGATTCCAGAGATTTTAAAATACCAAGGTAGAAGGTTGGGGTTTTTTAAGTAAATAATATTCTTCCAAATAAGGTACAAGAAATCAGGAAATAGCTCCTGCATTCTTGCTCTCTCCTATTCACGTGCACCCAACCTATTCTGCAGTCCTCGTTATACTGCAGCTTTGAATAGGCAACATTTTCTCTTCCAGGTCTCTTTTAATATGACTGTAAGTCTCCCTACCTGTGAAAGAAGCAGAAGACATATTGTGGTAAAACCAGTGGGTCTCAGTGATGTCCTGGAAATTGAAATTCTTCCACAATGCAGCTGTAACTGTCAGGCCAAGGCTGAGGCGAACAGCTCCAAGTGCAAAGGGAAAGGATCTTTTGAGTGTGGAGTCTGTATCTGCAACCCTGGCTACGTGGGTCCACATTGTGAATGTGATGAGAATTCCCTCAGCACCGATACTTGCAAGGGCTCCACAGAACAGAGCTCCTGCAGCGGGAGAGGAGACTGCTACTGTGGGCAGTGTGTTTGCCACTCATCAATGTATGGAAGAATTTATGGGCCACACTGTGAATGTGATGACTTCTCTTGTGTGAGGCACAGAGGACTTCAGTGTGGAGGTATGTTCCCCTTGAGGTATTTTTACTATCTGTATTTTAGAACCTTATTACCTTGTTGTTAGCTATGATCTTACAAACATCTATTTTCATAATGTATTAAATTGCAGTCATTTCACTGTGAAGTACTGCAACTTATATTTCTGAATTATCTTTAAATTAAAACCAGTAAGCAATTTTAACTCTGTTTTCAAATTTTAAAATAATATGTCTTTAACCACTCTGGCTAGTTGAACTTGGTGTAGCTTTACTGGAGCCTATCAGCTTTCATTGCACTGGGTCAGACTTTTAATAGTTGTAATGATTGTAGCTCCAGGGAAGTTTAGGTAAGTATATTGACATACTTTAGTGGTAAGTACTGTGCAATTTCACTCTGACCTAATTTTCAAAGTATATGCTTCTTAATCACTTTTACACTGTGATCTTTTAAAATTTTAATCCAGTAAACTAAATGATTTCAACTGTTCTCAGTTTATCTCAATATGAGCTTGGTAAGAACTTGAGAGCTTGGTGTTTTTTTTTTTTTTTTTCCTGGGCTATGTCATTATAAATCAGAAGCGGTTCTGGTAAAACAGTGGGAATAGTATCAACTGGCATGAACCTGTAATGACACGGTGCTGACTAGATAGACTGGCATCATGCTGCTATTATTGAAAGAGGATTTACCCATTAAGTTGTGGTCTGCTGGGAGATAAGAATCTATCTGGAGAACTCCAGTGAAGTGAATGGGGCTGCACTGGCTTGCAGCCAGATGAAGTGAAAATTTGATCCGCTGGTTTCAAATTGAAAATGCTGGGAGAGGAAAAAGGATGGTTTAAGAGTAAGAACAGTTGGAGTGGTGAAAACGTCTGTTATTAAGGCAAATGATTTTAAAGATAATCATTCAGATTTATATTAAAACTTTGATCTTAGATATAATTGTTTTTTCCAGGCAATGGTGACTGTGATTGTGGTGAATGTGTGTGCCACAGTGGATGGACTGGTGAATACTGTAATTGCACAACTGACACTGACTCCTGCCTTTCCGAGGATGGGCTGCTGTGCAGTGGGAGAGGCAACTGCATCTGTGGTTCGTGTGCTTGCACACATCCAGGGGCTTCAGGAAGCACGTGTGAAAAATGCCCTGTGTGTGATGACCCTTGCAGTTCTAAACGGTAATGTGCCAGTTACAGCTCTGATTTTTGTATCATTCGGGTTCCTACAGACTCAGCAGTGTGCTAACTGCTGCAATTTCATTAGAGTAAAATAGGAGAGCATCTCTGTATTCTTAATAGGGTAGTTGTACCTCAGACACCAACCATTTCTTGACATTGCTTCCATACAACAGAACTTGAAGGAAGGTGCTTTAATCGCCTTCAGATAGCACAAATAAAACATTCCATGTTGTTCATGACTGTACAAATACTCAGCATGGTGGCCCTTGGTTATCACCAAGCAAATGCAGATGAATGACCTTCTCTCTCTAGTACAGAATAAAAATACCCCAATATAGCCAGCAAAAATGAGAACTCACAGCAAACAAACTGAGAAAAGTTTGGGATTCTTATTCCTATGTGTGAATTAATAAGGTCATAGTTCTTGCTCAGCTTTCTATATGCACAAGTTCATATTCTAAATTCAGTTCAGCTTGATTGAATTAAACAGGTCTAACTAGGTCATAGTCTAAGGATAAAATCAAAGGGTAGTTGAATGTCATGTATAACTTTAGGATAAACTGCCTGTAAATGGCGAAGTGGTTTCTGTTCCCTTGGCATTCATAGTATGCGTAGATTGCCTGCTGTGGTGTGTGGTGTCTATATGGTTTGTGAAAGGAAAAGCAGCTGTAAAGTATGTGCAAAACAAAACTTACCCCTCTAAATACATACTTGCTTATGCTTGTATTACTTGAGCTCTTGCAGGGCTGAAGTTCAGGTCCATAACAAGCAGGCCGAAGTGCATATTTAAGCTAGGAATCACAGAACACTAGTTATTAATGACACTAATTTTGCTTGCTGAGTTCTGAGTTGGTGTAGGTTGCATTAATGTTTCATGACTGTCCTGTATGTTTATTTAGGGCTGAGGCTCATTTCTCTTCCACACTAGCTCTCTACCATTGTATTTTTGTGCATGTCTCCAACATGTACAGTATGTGAGATGAGAATCTATTCTGTGACATGTAATTTAGTTGTCGTTTATGATATTGCTAACATTGTCCTATAAAAGAAAGCTTTGTTCAAACCTAAGGCACATAGGTCTATATAAGCATAGTTTGAGTAAAGATAGATTTTGTGTACAAGAGCTCTAAACACTAAGTACAATGATGCTGCTTTACTCTGCCCAGTTTGGTAGAGAATAACAAGAAATATTAAGTTACATGATGGAGGTTACATTAGCCTTTTCGAACATGTATATTCTACACAATGTTAGATCTTTTCTCTCTCTTGCAGTCACTTCCATTGCTGAGATGTGGGGCTCGGAGAGCCAAAGGACACAGAACATTTGGGATACTTAGATAGGGTAAACAAAAATGCTAAAAGACCAGGTCAGAGGCGATTGAGATTAATGGCTAGGCAGCTGAGAAAAAGAGAGAAACATGGCAAATATGACAAAAACACCAACAACACTGAATTTATCTCCATTAGATAGAGGCTATCCCATTACCCACTCACTTCTACTATTCACCACTTCCAGAGCTAGTGATAAGGTCACCTCCTCTTGTAAAGATAATCTCAGAAGCCTCATCTTTATTCTCATGGAGATATATAACTCAATGCAGCAGGAGGTGGCCAGGTTTTTTGGGGATGTTTTGCTGAGTTTATTCTCATTCTACTTTATTTGTTTCCTTTTTTCTTTTTCCATTTTCCTTTTAGTTTTTCTTTTTTTTTCCTTTTTCCTCCTCCTCCCTTTTCTATCTTTTTTCCCCCTTCTTTTTCCTCTTCCCTTTCCAGAATTTTCTTGTATAAATTCTGTTTGTTTTTCCCTTTTTTTTTCATGAATTAACTCTGGTCTTACTAAAAGCCTGTGTTGCTGTAAGATTTTTCTCAGAGGCATCTACAGCAATTGATTTAGACTCTTTTTTTTTTTTTTTTAGAAAAAAATCCTAGTCATTCTATCGTTAAATAAAGTAAATAACGGGGAAATCCTTTTCCAATAAATTGCATTAGCATAATTAACATTTAAGTAATTCCTGAGACAAGTAATTGCATTCAAGAGACATCTGTTGAGACACCCGAGCAGTGTTTTTAGTCAGTTGATAGATATAATGCATTATTCAAAAGACTTTCAACAAAGGAAGACTTATAGTAAGTGCCCCAGCTTGATCACTCTGAAGTCAATATCAAATATTGTTCATTTGATAGACATTTGACTGATACATAGTGTAAGCTTAGTTCAGAGTTTTTTTTTTTTTTTAATATGAACGTTATGCGTGAGTAACCATATGTCTGTAGTAGAGCTGCATGAATAATATTGCCTGGGGTTCTGTCTGGTGGCTAATAAGATCAGGGAGAGAAAGAGAACAACAAAGAGCTTATCCACAATACCTTTCTTCTATTTTTTTCTTTTTTGGCAATACCTATCATATGTCTGAGAACTACTGTATCCATAGCACAAGACCTTTTGTTTTCCTTTTTTCCTTTTTAAATGGCAATGCATATGACTTGCCTTTGTACTGGTGGTTTGTGACAGGCAGAGAATGATGAGTTGTTGAATTATATTCCACAGGAGCTGTGTAGAATGTCACTTGGCTTCTGATGACAAGTCGCAGGGAGAATGCAGTGAAAAATGTAAATTGGTTGATGCAACTGTCAGCATTGCAGAGGGTTTGTACACTCTTTTTTTCTTTTTTTCTTTTTTTTTCTTTGGAGGAGGAGGGGGGGCATGTTTGTGTGATTAGAGATAGTTTCTCCTTTCAGTAATTTTATATTTGAAAGTAGCCTTGTTTTTCTACCATGGAATTATGTTAGTGCTTATAGGCACTACTGTCTGTCTACAGCTGTTGTGTGGTAGTGAGGAACTGCAAATCCAAACTGCTTTTAGCCCTCTAACTTAATTAAGTCACCAGAACACACCTACTTTCTAAGTGGTTTATAAAAGAAAAGGAAGAATTGGATAAATACTGCTCCCAGTAAACCAGTGGCTCACGAAACCCCCTGAGATCAGGTCAAGCCTCTACCCTAAGTCTGACTGGCTTCTTTTATCTTACAAATGCAAACTTGATTTCAGTTGTCATGCAGACTGTTGATTACAGCACGTAGCTCCCCTAGACACAGCCCTTTAATCTATGTAAAGACATTCTGCTGCTTGTCAGTTCTTATTGAGACATTTCTAGTACCCTAAAGGCAAAATGCATCATCCATGGCTCCCAGCAGGCTGTACTCCATCAATGAGAGTTCCTAGAATAGAAACTGACCTTGAATAAAATATTGCCCTCACAGACAAAGATATATTACTTTATATGAAATACTGCATCAAGGCCCTTTTTTTTCTTCTTTTTCTGCCTGCAGAGGAAGTAGCTTGCCTGTATAATAGGCACTTAGTATTTATTTTAATGGCAAAGTGCAATGGTTATGTGGTGCAGCACATAGGTGTGATATACCCACATCATAGACCTAACATTAGCATTAAATGTGACAAACATTACAATAATAAGGATGGTAATGCAGAATGCTTTATGTGTGTTTATGTTAAACTGTCAAAGGCCTATCTAGAACTACATATGTGCAAAATTTTCAGTGATATCTTTCTGAGAAAACTCTAGCATTATTACTTTGGAGGCATTATTCTGCAATAAATAGCTCAAAAGTTGCAAATAATTCCCTTGGAATGGAAAGATCTTTCTAATGTAACGTAGTGTATCCTTTATTGAAGTAATATTTTAAGTTATGCCTTTATAGACATTAGTATTTGCATAAGTACATTTTTATGCAGCATTCAAAAATAGCTAAGGAGTATTTGTTAAAAGCTTGCAAGTAGAAAGGGAATCAGCAACACACCAAATATTTGAGCACTTTTATTGTATTTATGTAGTTAGTGAAGTTTATAGATACAGTTTATAGATCAAGTTTTTATATATATAGTTTATAGATCAAGTCCTGTCCTTTCCTGATTGTGACTGTCAACTTCTTCCTTAGATTCAGAATTTGTTGACAGCAACTGCTGCAGTTAAGGCTGATTAACTGTTCTAATCCCTCAAAAAACAAATTGTTTACAAATCGTTTGTCATCCAAAATACTTGTGCAAAAGTTCACATCACTACCTGTATTATGGAGATAACCTCATTAAAGAATCCTGAGGAAAAAAAAGTATTGAAAATAACATACCTAAATCCTGAAATCCAAGCTTTCTCACACAAAGATTTGAAAAGTAGTGTAAATATTTAATTATTTAAATGTTTGAGATGGATTTTTGGCACGACTTAATGTAGTATCACAATGCTTCTTTCTGGTTTATATTTCTTTTCTTTTAGCATTTCAAGACTTTCTGAAGATGGAAATATCTCTAGGGTGTACAACTACGTAAAATATTAGTGCTTTAAATATCGATAGACTTTTTTACATCAAAACAACACGTGAAATTGGGTAGCTGTTAAGAAAAACTTTACAATTTTACCTTCACGTGCACTTTTTCTGTTTCCTTGGAAGGCCTGCCTGATGTTCTTGGCAGTGCTTTCTGTCTGCTCGCTGTCAGTTCTGCGCGGGCTGTGGTTTCCCTTCCGCCTGCCCGCAGCGCAGCAGGGCCGCGCGTGCCGCCCCAGCGCTCGCTGCGTGCAGATCGCACGGGGCAGGCGGTGACGAAGCAACTCGCAGGGTGCTGATGTTTCACATTTACTGAGCTGGGTCTTCTCTCAACAGCAAATAGCTCTTCTCAATATTTATTTTCTTTTTACCTGTTTTGAATGGTTGAATTTTTATTTAAAAGAGGGCCTGATTACCTTTTTGCCAAATGAGTCCAAGGTGAATCTTTGCTGCTCTGGTAGCTACCTGGTGGAACCATAATTCCGGAAACCCAGGATCTTCTTGTGACCCCACACTTACAATCCTAAAACCCCCAAAACTATCATTACACGTTCTTTGGGGAACGTGAGCATTTCCTACCCTTCCATTTGCTTCTCTCTCCTGTTGCTCTGCTATAACATCAACTTCACACAAATTCCCCATCCAACAGGAAAGCAGGAGACAGATCCTAAAGAAGCCTCTAACTCAGTGCTCTGTTGTTATCTTTTAAAGTTAGATGGAACTGTCCCCCAAAAGCCTTTTGCTGGTCAAAAGACAAACAAGAAAGTTCATAATGACATTTATATTCACAGTCAACATTTTTGTTGCATCTTTTGTGTAAGCATCCATTACGACACAGCTTAGTCTTTCGCATTGTGAGGATCAGGCTAATGTTACCCAGTTTCTATTCCAGTGTGACTTCACACTGGGAAAAGTATCATGTTTCATTAAAAGACAGAAAAAAATATACAGGTGTAAATTTTGTGAGTGTAGCTACACACCAGGAGATTTTGTGCATATATCTTGAGCAATACTCTCTGCATGTGACCCTCACCCTAAAAGCAACATCTGAGAAATAAAAGTACTAAGCATAAGTTGAATTCTGAATAAATTGAGCTGCTATTACTGGCTTAATTTCTCAGGCCTTGCACAAAATCTAATTTCTGTATTCCTTGATCTCAAATTAATTTTTATTTTTAAAATAATTTATTTGCAATTTGTACTTTCTGGAATTTTGCAATCCTTGAACGTGCTTGCAAGATATGCTCCATTCTAAAGGGCCCAAAACTACTTTTTTTTTCTTTTTTTTTTTTTTTCCTAAGGTGAAGTTCTTTAGATCTTCTTGCTTAAAAGAGTTGGGAAACACCAAATATTGCAAAATCTGTGATAGTATTATGGGAACTGTGACCTGCCAAAGACTGTCACCAATTCAGTACACTCAGTCCGAGGTTTTCAGTCCTTTCAACAAAAACAAGTCCTGTTAAATCAGCAAGTCCTGCCTATTATCTTGATAGATAACGTATCACTCTATAGCATCAAGGGCAGACAACAGATTAAATGTAAGACTATCACAAATCAAGAGGATGTTCCCATTAAAATCAAACCAGATATGATTGTTGGGTTATAAAAAGCAGACAAAATGACAGCAGTATATTCAACTACTTAAATTTTCATACTGTCTGTACAGTTTAGCAGGGTTTGATATATGCCTTCATGATATTAGTTTGCAAACTTACGATTTTTAGCACAGTTGCTTATATGATTTCTGTACGTGTTTTGATTAGATAAAATCGAGTTGAAATGACAGTTGATTGTCAGTAAAGAAATGGTTGAGAAACTCACTGTTTTTGTTACCTCTACAAATTAAAAAAAAAAAGCTAAGTTGTTGGAGAAACGTATTGAACAGCAAAGCTAATTTATCAGTGTCCTTTAAATCATGATTCATATGGAATCATAACAAATATTCAGCCATAATGGTATGTATGTGTGCAGCTATGAGCAGGGTATTTTTATTCTGTAAAAATAATACATAACGGCTATGCTCAGGATTTGGCATTTCTGACATTGGGCTTGTCATCCCAAATTTTGATGATTTTATTTGTTTTTTATCATCTGTCACTTCTAACTTCACCCTTTTTACCCATGTGCTCTTTTAATTAACTTTTTCTATGTAGAAAGCTTTCCCAGTTGGGAATCACCTGGGGAAAAAAAAAAGATTAAATTTTCCTGCAAGTCTACGTTAAATGGAGGGACACATAAAACAGGGCAGACTGTCATCTCAGATTACTTTTTATCTGATTTCCACTGAATTCCATTACAAAGATCCCAGAATTGTAGTTTTCTGTTATTGATTTATATTTACTGTAGTGGCAATACATGGCACAGTAGTATTTGAGAGAACCATTGTACCAGAAATAAAGAGCAGCCCTCTTAACACTATCAATTTCTGTGTGATACAAGTATATCTACTTTTGAAACATAATCTGAACTTGCTAGGGGTAGCTCTAAACCGAGGAGAACCTACTATTTACTTTGTCCTATAATTGACGACTATTACATTTCCCAGACAGCTGGTGGTTAAGTGGCTTAGAGGAACCTCCTTTGCATTGAAATTCACACTGCACCAGACTCACCAAGTGCACCTGATGGTCAGTACAGATTGACAACACCTGTACCTGCTCCTCTGCAATATAAGTGAAAAAAAAAAAAAAAAGAAAGAAAAAAGATTGAAATAAAGAAATGTAGAAAGCCATTAAATTTAGTAGCCATTCTGAGTTTACTTCTGCTTTTTTTTTTTCATTCTTTCTTCTATACAGACAAGGCTGTGACAGACATTATGCCACTGATCTCTCTTGCTTTACATGTTACATTTCCTTTGAATTGCTGGATGACTTTTTTCCCCTCTTGTAGATTTCTCAGAGGATAAATCCATTCCCTGCTCTTTGCAGGGGGAAAATGAATGTGCTACTACATTTCTCCTGACTACGGATGAACAGGGAAGAACAATCATTCACAGCATAAAAGAGAATGGTAAGCAGGAAATACTGCTTTTTCTCTATTGTGCCTCATTTAAAAATACAGACTGTCAGCACGGGCAAGCTGAGCTATTTTAAACAGCAGTGCTCCTCCTTATCTTTGTAATTCTCCTCTGCCCAGCCAAAAGAGCACCTCCTAAAGTATTTATTTAATGCTGCAATAAAATAAACATCCGGCCTGTCGTAAAAGCTGGGCAGAATGATCCAATGGATTAAGATCCAGGTACTGCTGTGTTACAATCTCGGCTCTGGGGCCTTAGACAAACTTCTTTGTCTCTGTATGAATTTCCTACCTATAAACCTAGGTTTGTCCAGCCTCAAAGGGTTGCAAGTTAATTTTTTAAAAGCCCTGCACAGTTCTGAAACAGTAACGCTGAGCACTCATCATATTGTATGCAAAAACTGTATTCAACTTGGAAATATCATGTATTTCCCAGACCAACAAATATCCAAATTACTCTCTTGTTGGATATACCGGTTGAAATGAATATGCAACAGAATGCTACAATATCTTTATATTTAATATTGTAGTACCATTAAGTTTTGAATGATTTTCACATCAGTAGTCTAGATATTTAAGAGACTTTTTTATTATCCAATATCCTTTCATTTCACATAATTTTTTAATTTCCTGTTATTTTGATGATGATTTTTCATTGAAGATCCTAATCATGTGAGACAGGAGAGAACATGGGCACCACTTTCCAGCAAACAGTCTGGTTTCTAAGCAATAAAGTGCTTTTTTTTTTTTTTTTTTTTTTTTTGGATGCACGCAGTGCCTCAGAGATAAATGTTAATTAAGTTTTATGGAAGACCATGCAGATCTGTAGTTTTATTTTGTTGGTGTAAGTGTCAGGCATAAGATTTGAAGATATCCTACTGTTTTTTTTTTAACCCTTATGTAGTGTTTTTATAGTGTACCTACTGAAGTTCAATGTGATTTCATTGCATGAAACAGCAGCTTCTATTATAAGAAGACTAATTTGGTTATATATAGGTTATGTTTATAGTAAAGATTTTTGTAATAAGGGGGTGATGTTAGACAAGTACGTGGCTTTGTAAACTGCACTCCTAAGACTCAAGGTGTTCTTGTCAAATGTATACTACACATTTTAGGAAGAGAAAAAAAAAATATATATATATATATATATCTCAAGGGAGGTACAGTGTGTTAAACCTTCAGTAACAGCCCTCCCACGATTCTGCCAACCAACTTTGTTGCCATCTGTTATTCTGCTCCTGGGCCTTGGGCAAAGGGGGAATGTTCTGTGGCTGCAAGTGAGTGTGAGTGAGGACAAGACCACCTGAAATACTTGCTCTACAGCTTGGTGTCACCTGTGGACTGAAGTCAAGATGCCACCAACAGCCACAGCATTAACTCACTGCTCAGTCAGACTTGTCCAAATTGAATAAATGGCACCAACCAAAAAAGTAATGCAAAATATTATCCCTGTAAGCCAAATGTAACCAAAATGAATTTTCAATATTCTTAAACCATGGCTCAGCAGAAAAGTTTGCAAAACTGACTTTCATGACCAAGACCTCTTAATATTACAGTAATCCCTTAATTGAAATTTGCTGCTTTGAGTCTCCTGGTCTGGTCTACATGATTATTTTTTCACTGAATCCTTGGGAAATAAATTATATTCTGCAATAATACTGATTTTTAAGTGATTTAATTTATTCTTTTAAATCTAATCTTCTGCCTTGGATTGCTAGTCGTTACAGGAGAAAAAATAGGATAACCAAAATTAGAGCATCTTTTAAGAAATACATTGCACCTCTAACACATTTGTAACTTAACTGTGTAAGAGAAAAGGAACACACTTGAAATACAGAATCTAGAATTCATGTGTCTGACCAAATTTGCAGCTCATGTCCCATCTGGACATTGGTTATCTCTACGTAAATTCAGAGGGAAATATATGCATCCAGGTGCCAGGCCGAGCAGCAGTTACAGCAGCCCACCCACCCCTAGCATTGCCTGCCGCATTTTCCTGACACGTGGTGGACCCGAGGCCACATGTCTGTACAATGGCAGTCCCTCCCATTTAGTTAAATTCTGTCTTTACCCACTGTCACCCATGATATCTGGAAATCCTGCTTTGGGTGCCCTTCTTTGAAAGTTGTGCTCTTTGTTTAAAACAGCATTTTCTTTTTAGTACTTCTACTGGTCCATACTCTAACATAACACCAAATTCAGTCATTAAGAGCAACCGTACTTTACCCCTTCAGCTGAGTCTAATGTCCCATATGCTCTACAAACTGTCACTGCTTCATGAAGAATTTAAAATGCCGTTGATCTGCATGTTCCAAATTTTGGTAATCCAAGCGTTTCCTGTCAGCTGTTCCAAGAGTTAACTGATTTTGATGCAGTTTAAGTCCAATGTTTCAACAAATCCAGTGAAACATTTTTTTCTCATTGTTTTCATGATGAAATGCACTTTTCTCCTTTTTCTAAGTGCCATCTGTACCTTTAGCTCTATGTAGGATCTTTTCCTTTGTAACACACTGAATATCAGTAAGTTGAAGAAGTAAAACTTCAGTGATAACATCATAAAATTCATAATTTTGTCAACCTAATCCTGCTTCTTAGAGTTAAAATGATTTAAATCTGGAAATGATTTTCTAGCTTTTCTTCTCAGACTGTGCATCTGTATCAGGCAGCTGCTAATTGGTATTGTAAATGCCATGTAAATTGTCAAACCATGGAGGATGTCACTTCAGTAGATTTCTACCTTTTAAATGCAGTATTTCTCAGACATTTTCACAAACCCATTAACAAACCATCAGGAGAAAGCTAATGTGGACTTGCAGAAAAATACAAGCTCCCAGCAAATGAGAACCCAGAGGCATCTTGGCTGTTTTTTAACTAGTTACAACTTTTTCAGGAAATACCCACAGTCCGAATTGTTTGTGTTTCCACAGATTGCCCACAACTTCCCAATATTCCAATGATAATGGTGGGTGTCACCCTTGCCATCCTTCTGATCGGCGTTGTTTTACTTTGCATATGGAAATTGCTAGTGTCAGTTCAGGACCGAAAAGAGGTGGCCAGGTTCGAAGCAGAAAGATCCAAAGCTAAGTGGCAAACGGTATGTTACATGCATTAATATTATAAGTCTATCTTTAAGTTGGTGGAACGACAATGTCTAAAATGCCTGGTTTTATCTTTATTTTGTTCTTTAAAAATGGTAGATTTTACCAGTAGATTTTCACCATTTATAAATAAAAATAATGAATTTTTAGAGACAATTGAAAACAGCTAGAGTTCAATATCCCAGTTTGTTTCCTCCACATGTACAATGCTGTACAGAATAATCTTTTATTGTTTATTTTATTCTTGCTTAGTTGATTCCTGGCCTGTAATTAACCTTACCAAGGTTGACCGCTCTCTAAAATTATCAGCATTATATGATTCCTCCCCAAAACAGGGAGGAATCTCCTTTCTATTTAGGAAGGAGATATTAGCAATATCCTATTTTATGCCGAAATATTAGCAAATTCCTATTTTATGCCGAAAGCCCACTTATATATAGGAGCAGTGTAAGCTGTCCAAAATGTAGGTAAAAGGACAGAGAAATCTGGGGCATAGCTTCTATCTATAGTTAGCACGTGTCTAATGCAGGATTACACCATATGTTCCCTTTTCCTCTTTCCCTTCTGCTTTGGGGCTTTTTTTGTCCTTCTGCAATAGTTTTTAAATTTATGAGATTATTTGAAAAAAAAAAAAAGAATGCTGAAATAGCAGTCTGAGAAGTGTCAGAAGGATATATGATACATTGGAGTTTGCTCAGCTGCATTCTTGTCCAAAATGTTATAATTGCAACATTTCTACAAGAGCAGGTACTTTCTGCCTTTTGGATTTTGAGAGAAGAGAAACATGGTTACTTACAGGCAGGGCTATTTCAGAATATTTTCCAGATCCATTGTTCCAAAAGAAAATGACACAAAGGGTATGAAAGGTGGGTATTAAAAGTGGAGAGGGACTTAAACCCTCCCACCAATCCATGGTAGTCTGTGTGGCTCAAGTAAGAGGCCCATGGCAGCTAACACTTCACATCTGAGAACATATTTTCAGTTTTTAGAATTGTACAACCATGACATTTGATACATAAATCCTATCAGACATATGCTGGGACGCATCTTTGATGATGCATTGTTTGATTACGGGCATTACATTAATTTGGGAGGCAGATGGGGAAAGAGGCGTGTTTCCTATTCCTGTCTGAGTCATGCTCGCTCGTGTAGCCTGGTTTGATTTTTGATGGTGGGCATATGAATTACGGATATCCATTCTGGAACGGTCAGAGGGTTAGAATTATTTCTGCACAAAGAATAGACCAGAAGTATTACACTATGGCTAGACCTGCCTCTGGCCTCACCTACTTTTCCACGATGTTTCCAAAAGACACAACACAAATCTTTTGTCTTGGGACACACGCTGGGAAGTAGAAGGGCACTTGTTAGTCTGTGTGCGAGTTGCCCAGTAAGGCTGGGTTGGGAACGGTTCGTGTCATGAACCAATGTTATTCCAGTGCTGAAGAGGTGCATTCAAGCCAGTGCCTTGCAGCTGAAACAATAGCAAGGTTACACGCAATGACTTACATTTCTTCTGTTTTTTTCAGGGAACAAATCCACTGTATATAGGCTCAACAACCACCTTTAAAAATGTAACTTACAAGAACCAGGAAAAGCAAAAAGTGGCCATGACTGCAGATTTCTACTAGTGCTTCCAAGCGCTACAGACTTAGTTTGACTAGCAGGAAACCTAAAAAGACCGTACTGCTCTGACTTCTTCTCAGCTGATTATGTGGTATTTGTTTGCTCACTGCAATGGTACAATAATTCTGTTAGATAAAATACATATTGTGTTGGGGAAACTTTAGATAACAATAATGCAAAAAATTAATAGGAACATTAGAAAAAAACTTTAATACTAAAGCCTCCCCCCATACTGAATTAATCGTTGATGGCATTACCAATAATTTAATCTGCACATTAATAGCAAGGATTAAAAAGTATCGTAAGTAAGCCTATTTCTGTGAATTTCTGTATGCACAATGAGTTTTCTGTAACCTTGTTCATCCATGCAGTGTGATATATTTGTGACTAAGCATGTATTTTTAGCAGTTTACTTGGTGAGATGGGTTAAATTTAAAAAGGATAAATTTTTAAATGCTGCTTAAACTACAGAGGTTAGAGGTGTGGCTGAAGTTATTCAGCCACTCAGCTGTTGGGCTGAATAATTTTTCATCAGAAACAATTAGTGTTATGGCCTGTCTTGAATGTACCGAAAGTATCTAGAAATACTTCCTTCCTATTTCTGCTTTCTTGCCTTGTTTCCCTCCTTCCATGTCCTTGAATCTCTTCCTGTTTGATATTATTTAAGAATCTCTTCCCTGAAGTTATATTTAGGGAAAGCTAAATCAGCCCTTAAGCGTTCTAGGTATAGACTGCCTTTTGTTTAGTTTCCTTTGAATTCTAGCAGAGAAGACCCAGAGTGAGAGAGAAAAGAAGTATTGGTAAATTAGAGAATCCAGATGAGAAATGTTAAACCAGAGAAATACCAAAAGAAAAAGTCGTTTTACCATTTCCATCCGATTTAGGCACTCAAAATAATGAGCTGTGGCATGAGCCTTTTATGTACAGGGAAATTTCACACACAAAGACTTAGTATTACACATAAAGATGCTAGTTATTTGTTGATGCATCTCAAATTAGGATTTTTTTTTAAGCTCAGCAACCAAGCTTTTTATTTGTATGAGAAATTCAGCTCTTTTGGCAGTTTTTTCAAAGTAAGCAGTAAGTAGAACTATGAATTTCATTTGATATTCATTTCCGTGACACTAATGAGGATTTTTAAATCTCAGTTTTAACTGCAGTTATTAATGACTTGTCATAAATTGTAATGCTGTTATCATACACATCACTGGGAAAAAAATCTCCCCAAATCAGCTAACATGATGGCATAAAAATGACAGTATTGCATTACTTTAAGCTAACAATAATGTACCTTCTTGATATGATTTTTCTTTTTCATTTTTTTTAATATTCTGGAATATATGGTCAAATGTACATATAAATGTACATGAAAGAGAAGGATTGGAAAGCAAAGGTACATTGATACATATCACAGACACTCCAATAAGGTTCATTCCCTAAGGTAAAGCATTTATTTGATCTAAAACACTTGATAACCATTTTTTTTCAATAAATATGAACAAAGTCTGTGCAACTTTAGTCTCTATATCCTTTGCAATTATTGGATATGAGACTCATATTTTAGATGCCTGTTTTAGGGCCGGATTCAAAGCCTATTGGAGTCAATGGCTACAAATGAGCAATTAGTTTCAGTGAAACTATTAGTTTTGGTTTACAAAGATTGTTTTGTTTAAACAAACTGGTTAATATTGTCTAGTAGTGGTCTAGAACCTGCATTATCTATTTCTGTGCAAAGAGAAAATAAACAGTATCAGAAGCCTTCGGGAAGAAGGTGATGCTGTCACTATGTATGTAATGATGGCTCTGATTAAACTGGAACAGGCTAATTACAGGTTCATGGCTATACTCTTTGGTACTCTTGGATATCTTGTAATGAAAGATATGTAGGGACAGAGCCTCAATTAGTAATCCTTCCAGCCACTAGACTCCCACAGGATGTCAGTGTGGGTTATATATGGTCCCCAATCCAGTCTCCCTAGCAGATGAATGATCTCACTGGATGTAAAGTAGGCCCCCTGGATTCAATGAGAGTTTTGTCTCAGGCTCCACTTGGGTCAGGATTGCTTAAAAGACAACAGAAATTTGGATTTAGCCTATGGAAAATAGCTGTTACTTTTTTTCCAAGTAAAAGTCATCAAACGACAATCTTTTTATGGAAAAATATTACATCTGAACTAGTAAATATCTATATTGTTATATACCTTTTAAGTTCTGTTTCTCAGATGGCTGATTCTGCAGCTCAGTACTTAGGGGTTGAGACTCCTGTAGGTCAACCATTTCAGTAGTAAGTTCTTTTTCAGTATTGCAAGATTTTTACTGAAATCGTGTTCACATTTCACATAAAACTGCTAGTGGTCTGCTCCCTGTTCTTACAGGAGATTTCATTTCACAAGACTGCTCAAACTGTTCCCATTTGTATCTTTCGTTCATCAGCAAAGATCCAAAAGGGTATGGAGATAATGTTTACACTCCAATTAATCCGCCTAGCAATCTTTTTGAAAATCATTAGTGACTTGTAGAAATCAGGCAGTATGTCTTGCAATTCCCATCTTCGTATTGTACTATACTTTTTCTGTACTTCTTCAAATTTGTCAGAAGGAGAATCACTCAATTCATAGAAGAGAGAAAACAGAAGGGCTCCGAAAGATCTCTGTCATTGAGGGAGATTTGTTCAGATCAGTCGTTCTTTTAAAAACATTAATTAGCATAAAATTTGACTAAGATCTTAAAGAACTTTAAAGGTCTTACGTGACGTTTGCCCTAGAAACAAGAGTGTAGTGTGCATTTCTTAGTTAACTAAATTATTTTTATCTTGTAGCATTTGTGTCAAAGTTCTTTTTTTCTTTCTTTCCCCACCAAATTATGAGGGGGGTTGTGTGCAGTGAGTGGGATGGAAAAGTCTTTCTGCTCTTTTCATGAGTAATGTTTGGACCCAAGGCTGGATCTTGAGAAAGGCCAAAACATTTTTAGTAGAAATACTTCTATTGACTTGAAGAGTTATCTAAATACAATAAAATTGCTGATGATTTTTCCTTTATTTGTTTATCTTTTATACTTCACAGATGGTAATTTCAGTAATGTATGTTAAATAGATTTTTTTCATTTGATTTTTACAAGTTGCATGTTATCCTGTATTTTTATGTCCAACTCACATACGTCTTTCTTTTGTAAAGCAGATAGTGGTTAATGAGTCTTGGACATAGGACTCAGATGTCAAGGGCAATACTCTCTATGTGCTGTCTATCCCAATGTAGCAATCCTTACTTGTTTTCCAGTGGACATAAAGGAGTTATTGCTCCACAAATTTCATTGCACATAACCTAGAGGAAAAAAATCTTAGTCGATTTGCAAGTGGCAGGTAAATCCCATGAGCTTGTTGTTGTAAAGTGGTGTTATTTAACCTTGAATAAAGATTGTAAAATTGAGTGGTTTTTTTTTTTTTTTTTGGTCAAAATATACTTCCATTGCTTTTTCTTCATTTTCAATTTCACTGTGTCACCTTATCGTATATGAGCTTTACTATGTCTGGATGTTCTTTTGTTTTGCTTCTTAATGAAATAAGTTAATGAGTGAATCTTGTAAGCAATTGTCAGGAATGTAATCCAGAATATATAACTGACTATTCGAGGCATTTTTTTTTTGCATAATGATTCTTGAAGTGCTTAGATTACTGAAAGTTAAAAGGGCTGCCAATTCTGGAAGTGTAGTAACAGCATGACCTCTTCTGAACTACATAGCCAAATTTCTATTTTCTATTCAATCTGAAGGTTAATACTCCTTTTTCTCCTGTAATGAAAATTCATGTGTTTTGTCATCTCTGCTCCTCCGAGCAGGAAATTAGCATTCCTCTACGTCTTTGATAGAACTATATTTAATGTCTATTGTATTCTCCGGGCACATGATAAGACCACATCCTCTTGCATTTCACAGCACATTGTGAAAACTGAAATGGATTTGATTGCATGATTTGTATATATACGCTGTGTAATTCAGAACATATTTGACGTGAAGTCTATATATTTTTATTTTTGTTGGTTTCCATGCCTCAATTTTTTTTTCTCTGTCTCCATTGAAGTACTTTCAGTTCATACTGAGAGATATCAATGAAAGCACAACAGTGATACAGAGTACAGCTAAATAAAAAGGCATTTCCTTTTCAAGATCTTGGCATGACGGAACATCCCTGGAAGCTGCTAAGTTCTTGCTTTGCCACCAATCGCAGTACAAAAAGCAGAGAAAATCAAAAAATGGTTTTCATTGCAACCTCTCCTTTCCTCGTGTTATTTATGTTACAGTTTACATTTATTTGAAATTAAATAGTATAACTTAAATAGTATAACTACTTCAAGAAGTTTTTGTATTCAAATAGACAAAATTCTGAGAGCACGGTATATTTTTTAAATGCCAAATGCCCTTTCTCCACAACTGTTTTCTCAACAGTTATTATTTTCATTACTCTGCAAATCTGGCTGAAGTAGGAGGATTTAAAAAAAAAAGAAGGTCTTTATGTATGAAGAAACAGGAAAATTTTATGTGGTGTTTGACAGTTGGATGTCACCTGTGTTTGGAAAAACATGTGCTGGAAAATTTTGGACTCAAAGTTAATAATGAGTTCAGAGACAAATTGTCTCTCCTGTTGATCTTGAAGTGGTTAAAACCTGCTTCCTCTAAAACTCTCAACTGACTTAAAATCAGACCTATAATTATAGTATAATTACCAAGTTACAAACCTGTTTCTATTTTAGGTTATGGTTGATTTGAAAAATGACAGAAAAATCCTTAAAGTCAAAGAATCATGACCGGCCTCCCTCCCCTTCAGTATCTGCAAGAAAAGTCCTCCATGGCCATGTCATGAGCAAGTGCACAAGGCAACAAGCAAATCAACAGCAAGCAGCAGAATCTGAATTTTTATAGGTACAGTGATGCGTAGCTCTGCCTGGGTATTTACAGATACTGCTTCTTACTGTCTGGGGCAGCAGCTGCAAGACACCAGCCCAACATCTTCTCCCCTAATTATAGGTTCCAGATTCCAGTTCTTAGGTTATCTAAATAGGACAAATACAGAGTTTAATCAGTAGCGCTTTACCAAAACGAGATGCTTGTCACTGAATGTAGTCACTGTGAATGATTGGTCCACATATGGCCAA